AAGTTTATGCATATCAATAACTTGCTATGTGAGTTATATAATTCCCAGCACTATTCTGTAAACTTTCAAAATCATTTTGACGGTGCTTGTGAACTGGTATCTGTCATGTTAAATCCATTATATAGGAATGGAAATTTTTATTATCTTCACTTCGACGCACTGCGAATGCTGAAAGTGGTATTTTCTTTGTCCCGTAACTGCGATCTCATGTTTTTGATGGAGTTAAACGACCTCCACTCTGTATTATTCAGGACCCGTAAAATGTTGCAGACTTTTAGACATATATCAATATGATGATGCCTGTAAACTGGCTTCTCTCATGTTAATTTACTAATGTGAGAATGAGAATTTATCTATTTATTCTCAAACTGTACTAAAGAGCTGGCAGTTGATCTGCTACACATGTTAGTGCCAGTATCTTTAAATTGACGGCAGTGAAACCATCATCAACGAATCGGTTACAAAAAGTATGAAACATCTATCAAGATACCGCAAAAACGGCGGTTGCTTTTGGCATAGTTAATCCAACCTTTGAATTTTCCAAAGACTACTATCCATGTAGGATTGATTTAGTCGGTTTTAGGCAGGCCGTCGCAGTGGTCTCATTGCTGGTCTGGAATCCCGAAGACCAGAATGTCATTCCATAACAGTCCGATTTGTTTAATATATCACACAGTGAAAGGATATCACTTACGTGATAATTCGGGGACAAATGCTTGCCTATGGTCCCATCAAACCAATCTCAACTTTCAACATGAGTTTTCTATAGTCCGTTCACACGTTTTGTCTCACTACGGCAAAAGTCAAAGACAGCGAGATCAGTAAACTTTAAAATTCAGCTGTCGGAAGTTGTATCGCTACTCTGATATTACTATGGGCAAACATTTATGCCCAAAATGTCGTCAAGGGAATAAAACTGCTTCACCTTGCGCTTTATCAGATAAGCGAGTCAAAGAAGGAGTTATGCTACATCACGGTACTCATTTTTTTCACTTATATCAGACTGCAATATTCGTACTCATCTAGCTTGTCCTTAGGAAATCGTAAGGTAGATGTAGTTTTTCTCTACGGGCTTTACGTGTGCGGGAACTAAGGACATTCAGTCAAGTACTGAGGTAAGAAAACCCTGTAAACCTTTAAAATGGTGTGGCTATGATTTTTTCTAGACAAGTTGGGTTTCAGCAGCGCAGAAAAGGGGATCCATGATTCATTGTATTACTCACACTCTTCGAGGAAAACTTATGCTAATTAGTTCACTGATTTGCCTGGTGCTGAAATTTCGTAACTGCTCAGTGAATTATTGGTGCGGAAATCAGCAAAATGAGGTACAAATGAGAGTGACGACGACCGAAATTATCTAGAATACATATGATTTGAGAATGGCCTGCAAGGGTTTGTTCCAGAGACTTTATTGACCTTGAGACCTTAGTGGCATCGCATCTTAACCATCCTGTATGTATTTTACCCCACGCAAGGCTCCAGTTGGTCTTGTTCCACCACAATCACAGGTACTAAATGTGGTCAGTGGGTATTATATAGTGGACGACCGCCCGGTTTCATCATGTGATTGAGACCCATCAGATATCTTTTTCCAAAACACTAGCTGAAACCGGATTTAGGCTACTCAACTTGATATTTGATTAGAAAGGATTAGCAAAGGAGACGCAGCATCCGTAGTGTACACACCAGCTGTAAGCTGCAACACCAGAGGAGAAGTCTTTGTTATCAGTGGTAGTGATATTAGCAATAGTTGACAACCAAAATGTATCCGCTGTTCCATTGTCGTAACCTAGAATAGTTTTCGGACACAATTTTTTTCCCAGATTAGGAGATTTATAGATGACATGCGGGGACCTGCTTGATGGAACACCAACCCTGTGGTAGGAAGGATAGACGAACTGCCCTTTTCCACTTTGTCAACTCTCTGACCTCCATCATTTTCCTTGACCATTCTACCAATTTTTCGTCGCACACATAGCTAGGGTGACATCGATATCAAATCCGCCTCGCCGAGTTCTGTGCATTCACACGCCTGCAGCGTTTTGAGTTATATGCGCTCCATGTGCACTTCTGAGCACGCGCTCTCTGAGTTCTCCTTTCGTAACCGGGCCTTTCTGATTTTGCAACTTGGAGTCGAACGAAAGGCACGTGATCCGGTGGGTGCTTTAGTTGGCTTAGGAATTCAGATACAATTTCGCCAGGAAGAGTGTGGCCATAATTAGGGGAAATCAGTTATCAGGCTCTACCGAGGGCTAGGGTGATGGCAGATAACGACGACTATGTTGTCGACGGGGACGAGTGGAAGACTGATGAAGTGCCCCCCCCCATCATACCTACGATGGTCGCAGGAATTCAAGCAAGCCAAAAGGAGTAGTAACGGCTGTTTTCGCGATATCTTCTGCTGCCATAGGTATCTGGTTGTACGCCATGACCAAGTCGATTTTGGGGAAAATGTTCATTCCACATAAGGTTGCAGTCAAATCGTAAACGTGAGGTATCAGGTAGCAGTCCGGAGTTGTTTCGGCGTTAAGCCCTCAGTAATCACCGGTTGGACGCCAGCCGTTGCTATCCTTTCTGGGAACTGTGCGCAATGGTGATGCCCAAGGACTGTTTGACGGTTTTGATAATGCCTACTTCGAGCATGTGGTTGAATTCGCCTTTAGCCGTTTTGAGCTTATCGGGGGCTAGACGGCGCGCTTTGGATGCAACAGGTGGGCCTGTGGTTGTGACGTGATGCATAACATTGCTGGATGTGCACGGAAGAGTGTGCCTCGGTTGTTGCAATTCTGATCATCTCTCCAAAACTGCTCGGTAGGACGCTTCGCCTGGTTGTTTGGTTCTAGAGATGGCCAAACTCGGACCTACATAGGTGGTGCCGCCAACAGATAACTTTGTGCTGTTATCTATCAGTCGTCGACGGCAAGCATCTACGGGTAGATCGTAATGGTTAAGCAAGTCTATGCCAATGGTGGGCATAGAGACGTCAGCAAGGAGGAAAATCCAGTGGATAGGTTTGCGTAAACCTAAGTTGAGGTAGGCATACCGTCTCCCGAATGTCGCGATTGCCTTGCCGTTGGCTGCTTGAAGATTGAAGGATGGGCCGTGATGACGCTCCTTTGTCGTTGCGGGAAGAACGCTGACTCCTGCGCTGGTGTCGATGGGGTAGCGAACTTTCGTTTTTATGTCGGTGACGTGGAGCAAACGGCTGTTTCTGCCGGCTACGGTTGCCGTGAGCACGTGCCGGCGTGACCGTTTCCCGAGTTTCTGTCCTTGTTAAAACTGCATGGTTTCCGACATTTTCTGGCTTCGTCTCCGTAAGTGTTATGAAACCAGCACCATTCAGGGTTTTCCACCCTGCTATGTTTAGTTTTGGGGAAACCACGCGATTTGCTGCGATGCGCCATGGTGCGTTTCTGTGGAGGTCTACGTGAACTAGTACTTCGAGATCGCAGCAACTGTCTAACAGAGTTGCACAGCTTAGTCACCTCTGAGTCCTGGTGCTCTGGTTTGCTGCAGGCAGAATATACGTTGGAGACGGGTCTGCTGGAAATCTCCAGTATTTTATCTGCTGAGGCTGCCGGGTCATCCAGTGGAACTGACTACAGTGTCACCAACACGGTTTGCACCGGTTGTGGTAGTTTTGAGAGAAACAGTTATCGGAAAAGGCCATCTTCGAATGTTCTTGCACCCATAACTTCTCGCATGCGTGCGAGGACTTCAGTAACTGAGTGGCTGCCTAGCTCGATGTTACGAAGTAATTCGTCTAGACGCTGGCGATCTGTGAGATCGCTTTTCTTGAAGAGTGCGGCCTTAGGAAGTGCAAAAGGATCACTTACTTCAGGATTAATCATGTGTGCTGTAACATACCTGTTCAATCCTCGCGGTAGTGACCGTATGACAGCAAGAAATCGAGATTGAGGATCTGAGACACCCTGTTCTCGAAACTCTGCCTCGGCATACAGAAACCATGTTTCCGCATTGTCTGGCCAATATGGCACGTGTTCGTAGTCGGCTTAATGTGGATAAGCTTGGGAGTGTGGTCGGACATGAGTAAGTTTAGTAAATGGATATATAAATGTTATCGAAATGAAAACAATGTACAAGTATAAAATGGAACAGGCTCACCAATTCAATATTTGTTATTGGTCGGGATATGTGATCACGTTGGGCTCACCAATTTAGGACTTGTCCTGCTGCTAACTTGACAGACGCAAAGACCAATCACTAATTATTCAAACTTGTTATATACACACGAATACGAGACCAAGGAAGAACACGATAGCGTAGTCTCATGGAATAGTATATTTGGATGGTTGTGCCAAAATACCGATGCGTTCCAAATAACTGGCTGGAGAGTCGAATACGAGCAGTGCAACGTAACACGACAGCGTGCCAAATGGCCAGGATGCTTGACCGGATGCCCCCAGCTTAGCGAGTCCAGTTAAACTATCAAGGTCAGTATCAACGTCGAAGGTCGTCAAACCCTAGGCTATTGATTTTGGGGGTGTGTGACGCTGCAACTTATTAATTATTTGTGGTCTCAGGTCTGAAACACTTGAGGAACGCCTTGAGCGGCTATAGCTATGTGCTCGAGGATATAAGACTAAGAACAGATTTGATAACGGCTCGCAAAATTGTGGAGACCTCTGTATACTCAAGTGTCACTTGGTGAATCTAAGTTGTAGCACCAATCTTGGAGGACACATACAGAAACAAAGCCTAGGACAGCAAGTTACACATCAAACACAACTTCTACCCCCTGGGAGTAGTTACGCACTGGAATACGCTTCCCGAAGAAGTGATCCAGATCATTCATCTGAATCATTTCAATGCTGGCTTGATAGTTGTGGGTGGAATCTGTTCAGAAATTACGGGATCCTCAAAGTTTAACCGTGACGATTCATTCTCTCTAAAATTGAAGAAAGATCAGCAAAAACAGGTACTAGTGGTTCACAGATTTTAGAGTCGGGAGGCAGTTAACTGAAAGCTTCTTATGTTTCGACAATATACGGCGTAATTTTAAAGTATTGCGTTGCCTTTAAGCTGTACTTTAGCAGTAAACTCTCATATAAAGAAAGGTCCGTTCAGCAGGTTTTTTGAATGCAAAGTAATTGGTTATGACTATCAAATCTGTATGTGGTTTTGAATTTTCTCTACACACTACCTTCTTCTACTTGGACAGCCTTCAGTTAAACGTAAAAATGGAATAAATGCGGTAATACCACAGCAGCATGGCTAAATTTTAAAGTGCCCAACCAGGAACCCTTCGATTACGGTTTTCCAAACTACCAAAAACTCAGGAAAGTTCAAGGAAGCCGCAAAAACGTGTGGCCGCAGCCTTTCTTAAGGAAGCCCTTCAATTGGACGGTTTTCGTGATCTAGTGATGAAGTTGTTACTTCGACAACCATAAGCCACTCAGGTGACATTACCCACATAGCGCTGCTTTTGAGGTAAACTTGAAGTGGTCAGCCATCCTACATTATCACGGTATCATATCTACTTTGCCCTATAAATTGTGTTCAGGTCTAGATGGAATGGATCCAGAGGTTCGGATAGCCTATCCTAGCTCTTAGTTTCTACACTTTTGTAGTTTCCTATCTTCAGTTAGCACGGTGAATATATAGTTATGTAATTTTTGGTCTTTAGATTGTTACATTGTCAGAGATCGTAAGTGAATTGATTCAAACCAGGTTACAATGGCTTATTTATTCACTGTCTCAGTAAAATCCTGACCAATATACTACTATTCATCTTTCTACTATCCTTCATGTTCACGTAAATGTCTTACTTTACCTGTACGTATACTTATATGGTGTTTGGAAGTGTGATATCTTACGTGGCCAATGTATTTCTTGAAATGTTGTGCGTAGCATCCGTCAGGTCTCAATAGAGGGTCCAGTAATCCATTTATATTTTGGTTTGCATAGTATCCTACAAATGTTCTGGTTCACATCTTATCCTAGTTTCGCTTTCTCATGATATTAATCGTTTGACTACTTTATTTCATACAGTAAACTGAAACGTTTCAAACCTCAGGCAGGAGGTGGACTGCCATCCTAAAGCTGTGATGTAAGTTATGACAATAGTCATGAAACGAAACAATCACACTTAGAAGCAACACGAGTCAAAGAGAAACAAACTCAACACAAACTAAAAGGAGTAAATAAATAATAAAAGACGCAGGACGCTAATGATCTATGTAGATACTGTTTAAGCGATTGTTCAAATCTGTGTGGTCTGTAGTCACATGTTTCATAAGTCCCACAGACAAAAAACAAAGACTTCGATTTCGGCAGTTCTTGAGCTAATAATAAGAAAATTCATCGCTTAGAGCTATGTATAGGTTTGCAACCCCAAAGTTTCTTGTGAATTGTTCGTAGTTCCACTAGAATTATAGGATGCAGTTGACACTGGTCGTATGAACTTTGTCACCTGACCATTTCAGTGACTGATGGTTTTCAGCCTTTTTAACTCATTACTGCTTCGCTACTATCTTGCTTACTACTTTTTGCTAGTTCCCGATGATAAAACGATTTTCATCGTTTCCTCCTTTTGATCTGTCTAAACTGTATGATGTGACGTAGCTATTTAAACAAATAAGCAGTTATGCCAGAATGTGTAGAGCTCATCATACATCTTCATACGATAGATGTCGATTTTTAAGCTGCTTGTTCAGCTACTCTTACATACGAGCAGTTTTAATTAGACACTTCGCTCACCTGTGGTTTTCTCGTGTCATCCATATGCAAGATTTTTATGTCAGCTGTCGAAAAAAAGGTAGCCTGGATATATCATGCACTTCGCTGGGAGCTTCATAGGCCTTTATATGCGACTTCAACACTATATGGAGGATACAGCGAAATATGCTGAGTAATAGCATACAAACGGCGACTGGAAATAGTTGACGCAAAACCCCGCACACAAGTGCATCGATTCAAGCTGCCACACTTGACAGTAGTACACAACAGCAAGTGGATTCAATTAAATTTTTAACGCACTGAACTACGTTGTGCACATCCGTACAGCAGGCAATGAGCCACACCTACTGTTTGAGGATTATTGATTGTACCTGACTACCCAAACCTCGGTAAGTGGAGCAGGGCTGGAACCTATGACCAATAGTTAACAGCCATCTCCGTAAAGCTTCTAATCTAATCCAGCCTCCCCTAGCGTGGCACGTAAAGGTAGGTTGTGGCTCGGCATGCTCAGTACATGTCCCAGCTATCTCAGTAGACTAAGGTTCACAAGCTCATCAACCGACTAGCCTGTCTTGCCGAGTACCCTTCTGAACTCAAGATTGCACACACGGTGATTCCACCAAATGTGACGGAAACCCGGTAATCGCCTCTTGTCTTCTACTTTTAATGGCCACGTCTCACAGCCGTATAACAGGACAGAACGAACTGCAGCGCAGTATACTTCTTTGATAAGTAGTCAGATATCTCACCAGTTGGTTCCACAAGCGATGCAAGTTGGCAAATGCCAATCGGACTTTCTCTATCCGATCTGAGATTTCATCAGCATCCAGTTCGTTCGGGCTGATGCAACTCCCTAGGTAAGTAAAGTGGTTGATACATTCCACTACAACACTCCCTATGATTAAACTGGAATTACTTGCAGCAGACCAGTGCTGGAGCATCATCTCACATTTGATAGGTGCCAACAAAAGGCATGCCAAACGTACTCAGATTTCCTCTTAACTCATTCAGAACACCCTATATTTTCTCAGCATCTTCATCTAGCAAGACAATATTGTCTGCATACTCGAAGTCAACCAGATGACCTCCAGAAAGTAGGTCAATGCCTGTGAATTTAGACGTACCTGAGGTTATTTCCATTCTATGAAGAAGTTAAATAGGAACGGTTACAGTGGACGTCGCTGCGAAAACCACTAGTTGTCGTCAATTCACATGACAACTTCCATGAACACTAGTACACAGTTGCACGAGATCGAGTAGAGAGCTTTGATTAAGTCATGTACTTGTTCGGTACTTCTTTCACAGCCATACTACCACAACACCTGACATGCTGCCTTCAGGTCAAGAAATATGACAGTTGTTAGCCCCTGGCAGGTATTTCTGTGTTCTCTTCTACCTGAAACTTAAGCTCGACTTTTACTTCACTGACACCATGAAACGCGGTTTATACTATAAAGGCAATGGTGATCCAACACTTCAAGACTTCTTATTTACTCTACCTCTAACCGTCATGTTTCATAGCCATATAGTGGAAGATAGCAAACTGCTGCGGGTGACGGAATAGTAACTGGAGGCCAGTTGAACTCTTCCACTCATCACCGTCTGTCCATTGTTCCTACCATCTCCGTCGCAAGTAAATCATTGATGCATCTTTCGCTCCTATAGTTTCGCTAACCTTTCTGCCTGAGTCTTCTTGATCAGTCTAAATGAATGCTACTGCTACCTATCATCATTAACTCATAGTCAGTCCACATTTCAGTCACTTCCACTTATTGTCAAGTCCTTGAGGTAACTCTGATTATTCGGACGGTATTATGACCGACTGTCGGTTTCTAGTCGTTTTCTGTTAGTCATTTGTATCTTCACTGAAATTGTTGCGATAGAGTGAATATGCTACCAGGCTTGCGCAGTATAAACCGAATGTTCTTTTACCATAAATGTCTCAAGGTTGAAAATTTGCACTAACCTTTGTCCTCAGATTGTTGGTTCTGTCACACTTCTGTATCTTCTTTTGTATTACTCTTTTTCTGTCCACCTGTTCTTTGTGTACTACTGCGAATTGTGGCAACTTAAGCCGGTACACGCGTGATCGGAGTCCTAACTGACACTTCAGAAAAAGCGTCTATCCTCCACCCATTTTCTCTAACAATGGCTTATAGCAGTATGATCTATGTCCATAGTTGGTTTGATGGTCGGTAGGCGCATTGTGAGAGTAACTCCTTATGACCAAAGTTAGTTCCAACCAAAAACAAGTGATTGTCGGAGGAGAGGGAGGGAGGATAAGTTATGTATGATTGGGTCTTGTGTGCTACTGGGAGCGTGCAGGTGATTGGTACTTCCCGGGTATGCACACTGTGAAAGACTATTTCTTCTTAAGGTGCCTGAAAGCGAAAACGATTTGTGTGACCGTGGAGCCCACGGGACATCTGCTTGAGGCCTGTCGCATACGGCTTTTTTGGGTTGTTGCTTTGAGGTTTATTTGTCCTTACGCCGGCTGGAGTGGACCTATGTCGCCGTCATTGAAAGACCCTGGGGCAGGGTGAGATGTTATTTTGGGGCCGACCTTTTCTAGCCCCCTCCCTTTCATTTAGTAAGCAGTATCAAAGTGGCACCGCTGTTCATCCAAGGGAAACTCCTCACTGCCGTAACACCATCCAGCCAGCAACAGTACGACTTCGCCCTCACACCCATATCGTGGTAACCACTTTCCATCTTATCACTATCTAACATACATTTCTGACATAGTAGGACCTCGAAAGAACAAGTGTTCAACTAGAATAGCTGTTTGGATCATTGTGATATGCAAGCCAGACCATCACCTCATCACCGATCGGCATAGTGACACGCAGACCAAGTTTCGAACTACACGAGTTACAACCCGACGTCTCATAAGGAGAGTTGTGTACAAGCGCTATTCACGGGTGCCAAGATTGAATAGAGTAGTCAATAGCTGCGAAATTCAGAAGAAAACCACCTTTTGCAAAGTGTTCAGAACCGATGACTAACCAATCAAATTCATCAGAAAATGCCTATCAACAGAACAAATATTGCGACAATTACCTCAATCTACTGAACGAATCAGTTTACTATGCTTCAGAAGTATCTCCATCCATCCAGATCAACCTAGGACCAGGCATTACTGCGTAACGGTCCGAGTTGCCACACCTCATATCAGTACATCACATAAAAAGGCAGTGAGATGGAAAATGAAGATAAGAAAATTCAGTCAAAAGAAATATAAAGTACGAGAAGAAAGGAAAGAGGAGTGACAAAATGGTGAGATTCGGTACAGTGTTGTTAAGATGAGGATAGTGTGTGTATACATCTGCACCACTGACATCGGTTCTCAGCCATATCACCTAGAGTCTCCAACCTCTGGTTCCTCTTGTCCCGTGGACCCCAACCACCTAGTCTGCATCGCCCCACATGGCTCAAACCAACAATCAGAGACTTCACACAATAGTACCATGTTTCAGTCTGACCACCTTGGGCCCTTTTCCAGCCTGGATCTACTTCAGCCAACATTGTGTGACGAGGCAGACGGCGACTAGGCATACTTAACACGTGTCCCAACCATCTCAGTTGATGAAGGTTCACAACCTTGTCAACTGACTTACCTCTTCTCCCTAGAACTCTACGCCTGGCTTCTGCGTTACTCACTTGGTGACACCACGGAATACGGCCTATACCACGAAGGTAACGGTGTTCAAACACCTGAAGCCCTCTCATGTCTTCCACCTTCAATGGCCATATTTCACAGCCATACAGTAGAACAAAACGGACTGCTGTGCAGTACATGCAACCCTTAATAGACAATGGGATATCACGGCGGTGCCAAAGGTGGCGTGAGTTGGCGAAAGCCAGCCGAGGCTTTTGTAACTGTGCAGAGATTTCATAGGTCGCTGAGCCACCAGGGCAGGGCTGACCCTACTTCCCAGGTAAGTGGAGTGGTCAACACACTCAACCACTGTACTCCTTCTCGTTAGGTGAGGCACCGTTGAATACCCATCGTGGAGCAATAATTTGTATTTGGGTGGTGAAAAAGACATCCCAAACATTCTCGAACTGAAACTCAAACTGTCCAGAAGACTCTGCATCTTGTCAGCGTTTTCACCTAACAGGACTATGTCATCTGCATATTCTACGTCTAACGAAAATTCTCCACGGATTAGGTCAACGTCTGTGTAGTTGGATGACGAGAGGGAGACCTCCATGAAATATCTATGATGAAATTGAATAAGAATGGAGACAGTGGGCATCCTTGATGGACACCACTTGATGAGTACATTTCACCATAGGCTGTAACACGCAGGCAAGTGTTCGAGTAGAGAGCCTTCAATAAAGTGATGTACTTACTTGGCACGCCTTTCAGTGAGAGACATTGTCATAAGACTTCTCGATCAATGGAGTCGAATGTCGCATTCAGGTCGAGAAATACAGCCAGTGTCGGGCGTCGGTAAGCGTGTCTGTGTTCCAGAACCTGGAGCAGTGTTAATACTTGGTCGATACACCCACGGCCGGGTCTAAAGCCTGCCTGCGTTTTCTCGGGCTTGCTGTTCCCGAGCTCCACTCAGACATTGGAGAATTATAGGACCTAGGATCTTGGACACTATGTTCGTCAGGCTGATTCCTCTGTGGTTATCACAAGAGGACTTCTCGCCTTTCTTGAAGACTGGGATGATGAGTGACTTAGACCAGTCAGAGGGGATCGTATTTGATTCCTATATACTGGTTAACACTTCCGTTAACCTGACTAAGAGCACCTTACCACCATCCTTGTATACCTCAGGAGTTAGTCCGTCTGGTCCTGCTGCCCTTCCTCGTTTCAGGTTATCTACCGCTTTCTCAACTTCTAGTGTTGGTGGCCTATCTCTATGTCCCGTTCAGGATCCGATTGGATAGTGGGCAACTCGGTGGTGGCTGGAGGCCAGTTAAACTGCTCCTCGAAGTGTTCTACCCATCGTTCCAGTCGTCTCCCCTGCGAGTGAATCGCAGACCCGTCCTTCTCCGCTATGGTCTCACAGTTTCCTTAATAAGTCTAAATAACTGTCTACTGTTACCAATTGCCGCTGCCTTTTCCATCTCTTAAGCCTTCGCTGCCTACCACTGTTCGCGGTCGTTGCGTTGACTTTTTTCAGTCTACTTTTAAGTTGTGTCCGCTTTTCATTGTACTCGGGGCCTGCAGTCAGGGCTGCGTTCACGTGCATCCATTAGTTCAGAAGAAGCTGCTGATATCCATCGGCCCTTTTTAGCCACTCTTTTGGAGTCGGCTACAGTCTTCAGCGCTGCTTTTCCAGCAGACTGGAGATAGTAGCAAGCTTCTTCTGGATGAGTGATAGTCTTCTGTTGCGATAACTGCTTAGCCAATTCTTCAGTGAACACGGCTTTAGTGTTTTCGTTGTCCAGCAGTACTCGGGGTGGTTTTGTTGCCAAATTTTCCCCATGTCCATTGAGATGCAGACATATACACACTCTGACCAACGCGTGTTCGCCATCCAAGCATGTACTCCAGAAGGAGCGGCAATCTTCCACCGATCCTCTCCAGCGATGACTAATAGCAATGTGGTCTATCTGTGTCCATGGCTGGGTTGAGCACGGTGAACGTCACGTCAGACAGTGTCTTTTCTTATGTCTGAAATTTGTGCTGGCTAAAAATAGGTGGTTATCTGAGCACAGTTGTAGTAGGCGATCATCGTTATCTGTTCGTTCAGTTGGGACTCCGAAAGTGCCACCTAAGTGCCTTTCTGCCTCACTCAGTCTACTCACCTGTGTGTTGAAATCACCTGCAACAACCACCACTTCCGAGTGTTTGGCTTTCGAAAGGAGGTTAGACAGTTTTCGGTAGAACTCGTCCCTCACTGCATCCGAACTGCAGTCAGTGGGTGAGTGAGCAGAGATTACAAAGAGACAGCGGCTATTTTCACTATTCCTTTTAGTTCTCATTGTGCTGCTCAGCCAGAAAGCGCAGAGACGACTGTCAACTGGGATCCAGTCCAGTAGTGAGTTTTCAGCCCTAGTGCTTAATGCTATGCCTACACCTGCAAGACTGCGAGAGCTATCCATGGAATCTCCAGAAACTCGAAGGTTGAATTCTGTAGATTCACCAGATTGGCCGGTAGAGGTTAGGTGAATAACTGCACTTGGGTGATGTATGCGAGTCTCACAAGCACAGCACGCATGCATGGCCCGAGTTGCTAGAGAGAGTCTTTGCCAACGAAGTCTGTTGACCGATTTGAAGGAGGATGCGGACATTGAAGGCTCCAGTATGTAATTTGGAGCGTGGTTTACACAGACCAAGGATGCTGTTCTGTGGACTCAGATAGTTGTTGAAGGCTCCAGAGCTAGGAGAACCTGAAGATGATGTAGTATGTTTAATTGAGAGATGTGAAGGAAGATTAGAAGGTAATGATGGAGGAGGTGGATAGCAGTCTGAGGGAAGTTGAGTGCTGACAGAGTTGTGAGGGCGATTGATACTTCTCGGCTACCCACACTGTGTAAGGTTATTTCTTCTTAAAGTACCTGAAAGAGATTTGTGTGACCTCAGAGCGCATCGGACATCTGCTTGAGGCCTGTCACACTCAGCCTTTTGTGTATGATTATTTTGATTTTTTGTTGTTTTGGTGCCGGATGGTCGGAAGCAAACGACAAATGAGCCAACACCGCCGACCCGGTAGACGGTGGGTCATGGTGGGGTGTGTTATTTTTGGGCCGACCTTTTCTAACCGTCTTCCACTGAGAATGCAACATCAGCATGGCACTGCTGGTCATCTAAGGGAAACACCTTACCACTGTCACACGCTGTCGAGCTAGCAGCAGTACGACTTCGCCCTCAGACCTCCATCATAGTGTAGTAATTAACACCACAACGGTAACTGCTTTTCGTCTAACCACTATCCAACAGACCTTTTTTGGTATGGTAGGACCTCGAGGGAACAAGTGTTCCACCAGGATAGTACGTTGGGTCATTGTGGTATTCTAGCCTGACCACCACGTCGTGGTAGCACCTATCGGTCGGGGTATCTCAATAACTTTCAACCAATTGCGTCATTCATTCGGTATTAGTGTGGCACACAGACTAATTAAATGCCTGCAGGACATCTTGTGCAAGCTGAAAAATTCATTAGCCAAAAAAGACATGACGAATAAAATCCACAAAACTAGTTACGAAGACTATCAGGCCCACTATGTTGGCCAGTTAAGTCGTCGAAGAGCCAAAAGATTATTTGAGCGTCAACTTGCAATCAGACGAGATAATATATCCTCACTGATATTGGTATATGTCGATGAACATGACAAAAATTCAATTGTGGAAATACCACAGTAAGCAAGCCCGAAAACTGTTAGAGAGTTCCTTGAATTCCATTTTAGTTTGTTTATTAGGAATGTCACACAGTGAGATAGTCTCATTTATTGGATAACATTTCCACCATAATTTATTGTCCATATTCATATCATTGATATGAACGTGCACAATAAATTATGTCCAGTAAATGAAACTGTTTCACTATGTGACATTTCCAATAAACAGACCAAAATGAAAGTACAATGTACCTAAGTGCCCAAGTTTTACTCCCATTCTAGAGTTCCTGGAAGCATGTAACTCAGTCAAATGGCAACCACCAGACAGGTAGACGTGGATGACCCCAATATACGGGCTAATAATAAGGGATCAGCCAACTGGTTTTAAATCAGTCGGATCGGAAATCAGGCGTTGGATCAACAGCATAAGTCAGACGATAACAACAATTATAAAAGTCGACCTGTAATAAAAAAGGAAGTAAAGGTCACACCTACCCAAAAGTTAATAGCGCCCACGGTTGGCCAAAGTCCATTATAAAAATTCATGCAGCTTAAAAATGTTTCACTTCATTGTGAAGTCTGATTAAGTCACCTAACCTGACAATGAAACGTCCAAGAACAAACCTCAAAGCTTGAAGAATACCAAACAATTATCATCGTCACTGTGAATCTGTATGAATGTAGTGTAGATTTCGTGTATGTTAACACCCGTTTCTTGATAACTGATTTTTTCATATAGCTCTCGTATTACTATATGAGCTCACTTTCGGAGCTTTCAGAAACATGACCTATTCGTTGTGTATTCTATAAGAACTCTCTAACTATCGCCTGGATTGAATAATGTGCACATTACCTTCCTGTCACAGATGCAGTCAGTCTGAGGTTCATATATTTGTTGGTGTTTGGCACTAATGGAAGGCATTAATCTGGTCAATACACCTTTAGCTAATTCTGAAATCTGCCAAAATTATACTTGTGCTTAAGTCAACCGATTTGAAGACATTATGTGGTAATTTTATGCCCTTCACTGTTTTCTAAACTTTGGTCAGTGTTAATATCTCCCCAAATTGAGGTAGTTTCCAGGTAACTAATGGGTAGATAAAATACAGCCCTCACCTGTCGTTTTGAATACCTATTCTGATAGACTACTAGCGACTCATCTTTTTTTTCCAGGGGTAGTTTCGTTTCCTGAAGCATTTTCAAGGCAGTCTGTCGTTGAATCTAAATAAATACCAATGATTACTTACATGCGATATCTTTATAGTTTGTTTCCATCTTGGCGCCTACTACCTCGTCACTATGTCAAAGACTGTTAATCAACTTACATTTTAGTCACTTTCAGTGTAAATAACTTCTATGTTAGGTGGTGTTTGGACTGCTCTACATAGAAGTGCTCAGAATTTGAATCAGAAGAATATGTAGGAAAAATGTTAATATACTTCTCATGTGACAAAAAATTTAGTGGACACATGTTAGGAATGGTTTCGTAGGGTCGTGGGTTATATTTCCAAGTGTTCTTCTAGATTTACTATATTTTTAAATGTTCTTTTTTCATTTTAGATTCTCCCTAAATGTCTCTGACTGGACCTCAACTTCTTCCCTTAGAACTGGTAGATAAATGCATAGGTTCTAGAATTCATATAATTATGAAAAATGATAAAGAAATGGTGGGTACTTTGCTGGGATTCGATGGTTATGTAAACATGGTCTTGATTGATGTTACTGAATTTGAATTCACAGCCCAAGGCAAACGTATCACAAAACTGTCACACATTTTACTAAATGGCAGCAATATTGCTATGATGGTACCCGGTGGAGAAGGACCTGAAATATAATTTGTTTATAAACTGTACAATCTCAGTGTATATAATATACATCTAACAATAAAGTTTTCATAACATAGTTCTTTTTGTTATGTTGAGATTGTATTTTGATTGGAAGGGTCATACGTGCGAATTGATTTCAGTGATCAAAGTCGTTTTAAAATCATATAAATATATACAATAAATGATCTATTTATCGTATAACACAACTAAAGTTAGTCCTTTGGTAATAACCCTACATTCGTTTACGGTTTACTTTTCTGCCCAACGTTTCTCTGGACATAAATTTTTAGTAAAGCGTAGAGATCCGTAGTCTTGCATTTCATCTGTAAAATTTTTTTGTGAGTACTATGTGTAAGAAACTAATAAGACTAATAGGATGTGGTGGTGGTAAATATTCCTAAAACAGAATGTAACGACATTAGATTATGACACAACTTTGTAAACTGAATAAGTTAGATGAATTGGTCAGATAGATAGAATCAACTCAGAACCTGGCATTACTCATAAGTATTCCAGGTTCCCACACCCTATGGCAACACGTCAAGCGAGAATGCACTAATATCAAAAACCAGGAAATGAAGAAGGCAGTCGAAATTGGTACAGTCATCAAGAGAGAGGGAGAAAAAGAGAGCTATAGGAGAACAGTGGAATTCAGTATGACATTTAAGATGTAGATAATGTATAGAAACATCACCACTGATATTCATTCTCAGCCATGCCACTTCGAGTCTCCAACCCTTGTTTCTGTTGTCATGCGGATCCCGATCGAGAAGTTAACATCTCCCTACATGACTCAGACTAGCGCCTCACTTCGACACTACTGACGTGGTGACACCGTGACATACAGCCATTGCTACGAAGGCTACGGTGATCGAACACCTGAAGCCTTCTCATGTCGTCTACCTTCAATGACCATGTTTCACAACCATGTAGCAGAACAGAGCTTGCTGAAACGCAGTACACTCTACCTCTAATAAACAATGGGATATCATCGCAGCGGTGCCATAAGTTGACGAGGGCCAATGAGGTCTTTAGTAGCCTCGTCGAGATTTTGCCAGTCACTAACCGAAAAGGGCTGATCGGAATTCTCAAGTTAGTGAAGTGGTCAACGTGCCCAACCATTTCACTCCCTACCGTTAAACAATGCACTACCAAAGACCAATCTAGGAATAACAATTTGCATTTGTGTGGCTGGGAACGAATCTCAAATCGCCACTCAACATGTCCAGAAGACTGCATCTTCATGTATCAGGTGTGTGTCATTTGCGTAGTGTATGTCTATTGGTGAGTCTCCTGTGATAACGTAAATCCCTGTGAAGTCAGATGATGAGACGAAGGCCTCCATAGTTACATCTGTGATAAACTCGAATAAGAATGGATAGAGTCGACACCTTTGATTGACACCAGTGTACATGAACGAGTAGCTGAAGTCTGTAACAAGTCGACACCTGTTCGAGTAGAGCGATATACCTACTCGGTACCACTTTGAGTGATCGACTTCCATAAGACGTCTTGGTCGACAAAGTTGGGTATCGTCTTCAGGTGGAGAAATACCGACTGTGCCGAGCATCGGTAGGTGTGCGTGTGTTCCAGAAACTGTCAGAGAGTGAGAATCTAGTCGACGACGCACCCACAGTGAAGTCTGAAACCTGCCTGGTTTTTTCGTGGTTGGTTTTCTGGAAATCCACTGAGACGCCTGATAATTATAGAAACTTGTTCATGTTGATGTTCGTCAGACTAATTCTCCTCTTTCTCACAGACAGGAACAATAAGTGAATGAGACGAGTCACAGTGGATCATATATGACATCCACTCAGTATCTGACACTTTAGTTAACCTGATCAATAAACCCCTATCACTTTCACCAAATATCTCCAGGATGAAGCCGTCCGAACCTGCTGTCCTTCCTCGTTCTGGATCAATAACAGCTTGCTTGACTTCTACAAGTGTTGGAGATGCTGCCATTACTACTGCCGCATAGCAGGTGATGAAATATCAGTTTAACGACAGTGAACTATTCTCCAAGGCATCTCATCAATGTATTGTGTTCCCTTGACTAGTTTGTTAAATCGTGAAGCTTTCATCGTCCTACTAGACAACATTATCAGCACTAACTTCAGTATGAAGTGAGCTGTCAATATCTCTCCGTCAGTGAGTGATTTAGTGGCATGCTCTGATGAAGTGGTCTGTGATTCGTTGTTTCCTTCGATTGTTGTGTCGTTGACTGTATAGACCTTCCTGTTGGCTGTTCCTCTGCTTCACCTCTGACCTTTCTGTCGTTTATCATTCTTTCTTATTGGTCGATAGATCGAGTCTATGTCTATACATCTGTTGATTGCTGACTGACCTGAATACCAAGCTTCTAGGAATCCCCTGATATTTTTTGTTTCCTCTGTCCAAAATTTCTACATTGTCGAAATTGAATTCATGTCCATAATTATCCATGTGCATTGAAACGAGTGGTGTTCATGTAGACGAAGGCGAAGAGGGTGACCACTTTGTCCAATGTAGTGTTGACTACAGTTATTGCAGTTGATTTTGTAAATGATAATCAGTTTGTCTTCTTTGTTTGTTGCATCCCTTGGTCTGCATAATAGTGTTTGGAGGGAATTTGTTGGTTTATGAGCCACACCAATTCCAAGTGGTCTCAGTAATCTTGTCGTGATTTCTGATATATTCTTTATGTATGGTAGGATGATGTGTTTATTGATTTCTGTTGATGACTTTCTATTTGGTGATGTACGGGATAGGCATCTTCTGATAAAGTTTCGTGGGTAGCCGTTCTTCTTTAGGAAGGACATCAAGTAATTTTCTTCGTTTCTCCGTGAAGTTGTTGTGCTGCAGTGTGTTCTCGCTCTTCTGAATAGAGTCTGCACGCAACTGATTTTGTGTGTTGTTGGGTTGTTGCTAGTGTAGTTGAGGATTTGGTCAGTGTGTGTTGGCTTCCTGTACACTTGGGTTTTCCAGCTTTCCGGCATTTGTCCTACTGACTAAAACATCCTGGAATGGTAGTTGGTTGTTTGACTCTTTCTCCATTGTGAATCACTTGGCATGTAGCATCATATAGCATAGTACAGCATAGCATAGCATATAGCTACTGTTGAATGAGGTTGATAAATGTTTGTGGCACTAAAACCGTAGTGATGAAGCAGCTGCCTGCCAAATTACTTCTCGGTCGATGCTGTCGAAGGCCTTTTCAAAGTCGACGAAGTTGAGGTAGAGAGTTGACTACCATTTAGGAGTTTTTCGAAATGATCAGCCCATTGTTTCCTTAGTTTCTCCTCTTTGGTGGTAACCAGATTTCCTTCACTATCTTTCATTAGTTTCATCTGTGTTGATCTCTCCACCCTCCCCCAGATAGTAACCTCGTTATTTGATATAATATTGTTAGGTCTTAGTCTCTCCTACCAGCAGCCTGTTCTGCTTCACTTACAAGTGTGTCGTAGAAGTACCTTTCGTCTTCGCGTGCACTCTTCTTCACTTCTTTGTCCAGTGTAGTGTTTTATAGGTTGTGTTCAGTTCCTCGTTTCGTTGTTCATCCCTATAGTGCACTGCATTGCACTGGTTTATCTTCTACTTCACCATCTTCCTCTCCCTGCTCTATCAGCTTCCATGTGTAGATCCGTTGAGATCCATTCTTCGTCTTGTCTTTCTACTTCTTCCTTCATAACACAGTTGTGCAGGTTACCTTCCACATCTCTTTCACAGAGTTCCAGTGTTCTTACACATCCGATCATTCAGGGATGTTGCTTAAAGTCTCCCATTGTTTCCCGATGACTGACTGACTGACGTGAAGATGTCTTTTGTAGCTTCGTCATTCAGTAGAGTTTCTGTTCCGGGTGTTGAACTTGAACTGTGGTCTATCATCACCAGCTTCTTATTCGAAGCTTGACTTCGACTTGATTTTGAAGGTAGGTAGGTCCCTTGCACTAGATAGTGAGTGGTGTGAACCACCTACATCTGCTCCTCTTCTTGATGTGATCTTGTGTCCAGTAGATTGGCTGTGTCTCCACTTTCTTCACATTGAGATGAAGTCGATATGATTTTTAGTGTAGTGCATCCATCTGGTGAAATCCATGTCGCTGCCTTGCCAATATCCTTGTGTTTGTACACACTGCCTGACTCCAATCACCAAATCATTGAATGCACAGAAGTCTGCAAACAGTTCTCCATTCTCGTTCATTTCACAAACGAGTGCTTCTCGACCATGATGAGTCCCTTTCCTATGTTGTCTGCTCCCACTTTGACATTCATGTCACTCATTAGAATTTTGATGTCGCCATTACCATCTGTGGTGAGGTTATTGTTGTTGCAGTTGTCTGTAGAATTCCTCCTTCTTCTCTTCATCTGCATTATTTGTAGGTGCGTAGCGTAGCAGTGTATGATAGTGACTTTCCTTCCTTTTGAGTTGAATCTTGCTGTCATGATCCTGATCATGGAGGAGATTGGTTCTCGCTGAACGAGAGTCTTCGATGCTGTTGGGACATCATGATAGCCACTCCAAAACTCAGTGTTCTGTGCTTGTGGTTGTCATCTGGGTGAGTCCGCTTGCATTCCATCTGCTGTCACTGATTTTTAGCACTTCAATACTATAGCTTCTCATCTCTTTTGCAATCAGGTTAGCCTTGGTAGGTTCAAACACAGTGCAGACATTCCATGTCACCAAGTTTACCTTCGCTTTCATCGAGAGAAGAGAAAAGACATCAACCAATTGGCTTCCTGAAGGCTTTCACCAACCGGCGTCATTTCGTCTCTTCGATTCTAGTGAGGAACAGTATTGTTTTTATTTTTTGTATTTTCTTTGTGCTTTGAAGTTTCCTGAGTGACTGGATTGGTTTTCCTGTGTATGGTTGCTAGCCCTATGCCTAACCTTCCTCCTTTATATGGGCTTATGACCAGCTGGTAACTAGTGAACTAGTTAACTAGGCGAGGTTACCATTAGGTAATGCACGGCAATTATTTAGGCTTATTAAGCATGCTGGCAAGAAAAAAACGATGGTTGAAATCACCAAAAAGGATGGGACGCTAATAACCTAATAGAGAATGCAAGTACAACGTGGGTCGGAGAAC